TATTACGTATCAAACTCTTACAATATATATATATACGTATATATTTGGATCTTTTGAATAACTTTACTTGATATAGTATGCTAATAAATATTGATTTATTTAATAAATTAGACTTTTTATAAGGTAAAAAGGGGTAATACGTATAATGGGATGGATAAAGTGGCAGATCACATAACATCGAAGTTGATATGAAGTCTATCAAATAGAGTTTAATTCCTATACCATTCAATTTGTCTCACCAAGATGAATCGAAGGATATAAAAAAAACAGTCGATTCTAATTACTATATAGATTATCAAATAATCATAAGTATGGAGCAAGTAGATAATTTATATCTTCACAACTTTACCTTCCAGACGATAACGATAAAATTATAAATGTTATACGAACACAACTTGCTTTTCTATTAGAGTTTAACGCCATAAATACCCCTATTACCATATGTAGTGATTAATATAAAAAAAATAAGTACGTACGTACGTACGATATATATTGTCGCGGATGATCGTGAAATTCAAATCTAAAAATCCCATTGGCCAATCACCTTAATCCTAACCAATCAGATTATCCGGGATTTCAGCATCATTCGCGACATATAAAATTTAGAGCATCACTGGGAGTATATCTGAAAATATGATGCGGTGACTTCATGGTTTTAACAACGACGACTCCAACCATCACCGACAGCAAACACATTTGTCTTTTATTAGAACCTATTACAAACTTATAAACTTAGTTTCCGAAGTTTAGGTTCCAGGTTCTACCTAAGAACTATATTATCACATGACTGAATGCATATATACATCATATTATTTTAGCTACTAGTGTCATTATTCCACATTTGTACGTACGTACCTTCATAATTTGATCTAAGCCACTGCTGATGTATACGTATAAAATACTACGATCTGTCAGATAATAAATCTAAATTCATATTCTCGTTTCAAATTCTTTCTCTTAATATAACTAGTTGCTTTCTTCCTGCAACTATAGAACTGTAGTCGTGCAAGTTTTTATATGGTTAGTACATTCTGTGACTTGTGCGAGTTTGTAAATGGCATTGTTGATTGCTTTCAGTCCACTGAACCCATGCCAAAATGTTCAATTCCTTGATCTCGTTTTCTATCGTAGTATTTTCGCTATATTGATTTTTACTCTCCAAACTTAGCTCGTAGTTACGAAAATAAACGTCACTTTTTACCTTTTTCTTTGAAATGTCTTTTAATACTGGTCAAACTCCCGATTCCGTCTATCAAGGTGAAGGTGACCTTAGGGCCCAGAACAGTGGTTCTTATTCTTTCAGGAGTGATATAATGTCTACCCCTCCGCATAAAATTCGTACTCCTGATTTTGATCGGTTGGTTTATCTTGCTTAAAGTTTATGCACATATCTATAAAGTACGCATTTATTAATTCAAAACCAATCAAACTTTGTAGTCTTTTACCACAAAGATCTCTTAATCCGGTCCAAGATCTGCAAATGCGGATTGTAACCGAAGAAAGTTCCAAAAAGAGAAAGTTATCGGTCATCGAAGAGGAAGCACAACAAGGTAATAATTTATTCATTATTCTGATTAGTTATTATTATGTATTATTATTTATTATTATTTATTATTATTGTTTATTATTATTTTGTTATTTATCATTAGAGGAGGAAAATCGACTCTACAGAGCAGTTGTGGGACAAGCAATGTTACCGTTAAGAGAAACAACCGATGATATTATTCATCGTTTGAATTCAACTCCCACAAAGTCATCCAAGAGATTGTTGTCTTTTAGTACACCGACGAAAGAACGAAACTATTTTTTTGATTCGCCGGTTAAGAGAGATTATAATTCGAGTCCGCTTCCGCTGGAAGCGCAATTAATTCTAACTAGCCCTCGCAAGCCGCCCAGATATATTAGTAGAACTCCATACAAGGTGCTTGATGCACCTGATCTTCAGGCAAGTCTCGCGTAATATATCCGTTATTTTTAACTTTCTCAGTATCTTATCTCTCTTTCCTTATAAATAGGATGACTTTTACTTAAATTTGGTGGATTGGTCTTCCACAAATGTTTTGGGTGTTGGATTGGGTACATGTGTTTATCTTTGGAATGCAGTTACTTCAAGGGTATGATATATTTAGATATATAATTTTTTTTTTTTTTTTTTTTTTTTTTTTTTTTTTATGTTTTTTTTTTTTTTTAAAGCTTTTTTTTTTTTTTTTTGTTTTTTT